AAAGAACGGAAAGGAGGACTAAGAATCTCCAACGACAACTGGCAGTGCTACATTTGCTACAAATGCCTGCACTTCAGCATCCGTCCATCTATCGCTGTTCTCCATACTTGCGAAATAAGTTGACACAATGTTTACGGTATGTTTACACAGCGTTTTAAATCATGGCGGGTGAGGGCGTTTTCATACCCGTTTGGCCAATCAATGTCTACTTACGTCACGATTAGTACCAGGTGTGCTGGTTAGACCCTGCTCCGGAGTAGGAGCTAATTTGGTTCTCGAAAAAGGCAGTCCAGTACTAAAATCACCAAACACCAAAAAGTGGGTAGTTCCACAATTAGTTCTGGTACTATTAAAAGGTTCCCGCGGTGCGAAAGGCCCTAACGTGAGTGTCCCACTTCAGGTCCTGAGAGATGGTGGTGCCCACTAACCTGAATGACTCCACTGCAGTCACAGTGCTGTTCATGATGGTGCCCCACTTCGGTAAGCATCCTCTTTGGCGTGACGAAGCTATTCAAACTAGCTAATTTCAAATTTTTTCTTTGTCATATAATTGCCATGGATTGCAGGCAAGGAAGTTGTTAAGGATCTAAACGCAGCATTATATTTATTAAATGAAAAGAATAAAGGCACCAGAGGTAAACAAAACATAGCCGTTTAACAAAGCTCATTATAACAAAGACTGACAAAGAATAAAAAAAAAGTGTCATTCATTAGCCTATATACATTCATTTTGGGTTACAAAACACCCCACAATTTAGTAGTGGTGCAACGGATCACAAAACTCACAGTTCGGATCATATTACGGATTTTGAGTCACGGATCGGATCATTTTTCAGATCAGCAAAAAAATAAAATAAATAAATAAATAAAATTGTGAAAGCTTACTTTAAGTACTTCTATACCACAGCACAAAATACTAGCTTAACTAATAAAGTTAGTAATAAAACCAGAACAATTACACAAATTACAAGCATTGATGAATACAACATAACACAGTTACAAATAAAGTCAGTAACAGTAGTATTCAGGTACAGAAATGTAATAACTAAGTGTAAAATAACACAATAGTGCTCACTGCACAAGTTAAATACAGATTAATCTTCGTTAGAGCTGTGGTGTTATTTGATTAGCAGAAGCAGGTATTTATTGGCTGCTGTCTCTTTAAGACCAAATGCACGGATTATTGCCAAATAATTGCAAATACCGTTGCCAAAACGGGTATTGTATCATAACTTTGTGTGTATGTGAAAGAGGAATCAATTCGCTGTTCACGCGGTGTCTCTCTCTCTCTGCGTGTGCACGCTTCTCGTGTGGCGGCAGCAGCTGAGCGCACATAAAACAGCGCGCAAGTTTAAATTGCTTGAATGTGTAAATTTTACACAAAAAAACTCTATGATGGTTAAACTTAACAGTTAATCCACGAATCACATGCGTGCCGAACCGTGGGGCCTGGTCCGTACGGATCACGGATCATCTACGATCCGTTGCACCCCTACAATATAGACATTTTAAATGTAATTTTCACAGAGTAAGGTGAGAAACAAAACAAGATGTAGGCACAAGCGTGTGGTACACTAAAAAAAAACTCATAAAAAAATGGTAAATGACTGGCAGCTACGGCTGCCAAACAAAAACCGTAAAATTAAAGTAAAATATCTTAATTGAAATAAAGTGCAAAGACAATAATTTTACAGAAATTTTAATTAAAAGTTTTACAGAAAATGAATTTACATTATCAATGAATTCTTTATAAACAGTTCTTCAGAGCCCCCAGGAGGAATTCAATAACTAAAAATTGCATTTCTATCTTATCAGTTAGGGTTACTCTCATGATGAGGTTAATTTTACCTTTGAGAGAAAGAAACAATTTGTGCTGTTTGCTGATAGC